ATATAACATATATAAATATGTTTCGTTTCATTTGTTTATCTTCTTTTTCTAAATAGATTTTTTCCCTAGAGAACCATTCCCAAACAAGTCGTACTCCAACGGACACATGCGCTCATTATAGGTGACGCGGCTAAAAAAACTCATCAATATTATTTGAGAATCGCGTTTTCCGCGATTACCAGGTTTGGGCTTGCCAACTTCTGCATTAGTACCACATTTTACAATGGTAATCATAGGAACGCGTCGACCTTTAAAAACTGTAAACAAACAAATTTAAGGATTAATTACAAAATAGTGTCGTTATAATCAAAGTCGATCAAATTATTGATCAAACAAAAATTTGCTGGTCAATGCTAGTCAATGGTCAAAGAACCTCCGGCCAAACTAGTCTAGTAAAATTGGTTAAATTGTCTAGTCTATGAATTAAATAGTTGTGCTGTACAAATGTAATACTATATATACAATTTGACCAATTTTACAGTATTAAACCCTTTGATCTGTCTGGTCAAATTTGCAAGGTCAAGATTGACCAGTCCGTGTCAACTCTGATTATTATAATTTAACTTACCAAAATGCCCAGCATAAACCTTGGCCATGTTGTGTTGCTTAGATCCCGCAGCCACAGCAACATAACTTCGAGGTTGGGGATCTTTAAAAGCTGGGTCAAGTTCCATGAGTCCGATACAAATATCAGGTGTGCTTTTAGATTCGCCACTTCCAGTAATGATACCATCACAGATAAGGAACAATAGTTTACGCTCATCAGGGTAATCAGTAGATGCCATTGATTCACAAGTTGCACGTATACCTAATTCGCCTTCTGAATAACATGTAACTAACATAACAGTGAACAAGTCGTTTCCAACATCATTCATGGTTTTAATATGACTGTTTGCATAACTAATGGGGTTCTGACCTCCATGTTGACCGAGTGGCATAGGTGCTACCTTTCTAGATCTGTTATTATTTTTTGGTGGGAGAGCGAGACGATGAGATATAAACCAATTGAACACACAAGCCATAATAAATCTAGTTAGAACTATTCCCAAGATCACAGTCAGTGAAATATATAGAAATAATTGAGAAGTAAAGCATCCAATAGTTTGCTTATCAATGTTTCCAGCATAATATTTGGCAATTAAACAATTGACTGTAGCCTTCGTATTCTCCCTGCCGAAAAGAAGACGAGTTGCATCCTTTCCATGAGCGCCTCCCAAAACTTTGCGAATAATGATATCCAATTGGTCTGACTGATTTGCTGGGTGCGCAATAATATATGGGTTGAGATTCAAAACAAAGCCATCTACAACTAAGTAATTTTCCAAAAACGGACTATTAAGTTGATCCCAATCAAAACCAACTTTTCTAGATGTGTTAAAAACATTAAGTGTTTTTAGTGTGGTTTCATTAAGTTCAAGTGTTCTATTGCTACAATTGTCCGGAATACAGACTGAATCTCTTACGATGGTAAATTGTTGATTTGGTTTTAAACTACACTGGGGAGGTTCACTCCGTTTGAATAAATTAGTGATATCTTGCCCATTTTGTTCTATTACAAGTTTCGTAAAATTAAGATTTGCGACCGATCTAGCATTAAGAACATTAAATTGCCAACCCGCTATTCCCAGATGTCCTGATAAAAAAAATAAATAAAAAAAGAAATTAAAAAGCGAAATTTTTAAGATAATCAAGGCCGAGACTATTAAAAGGGTTTAGAAGCAGAGGAATACCCATGTGTGGTCTTATATATTAATTGGGCAAATATCACATGCATAAACAAAATTCTCTATCGCTATTCCCTTTCAAGTGAACAATCTACCAGTTAGCGGGGCCGATTATTTCTGTTTAAAATAAACACAACAAAACCATCGGCTCTGCCAATCAGAGAGATCATTCTAAAAAAGTCTCAACACGAGACTAGAAGTGCAGACATGGGATGAGTCAATAGAAATAAAGCAGATTTTTTATAATAAAAAGGTTTAAAACTTTGATCAAAAGTAACTTATCAATAAAAAATTTTTTAAAATAATTTTATATAGAATTAATTTAAAAAAAATTTTTTATCAAATTTAGTTATTTATGCTTAAAGTTTTAACAAAATTCATTATTGACTCACCCCCACATATTATTGTAATTAATTTACGACCTCCTTATGCAAATATGTCTGCACCTCTCCTCGAGACCGAGGATGGTAATAAAAAATTTTTTCACCGTTTTAAACATTTGATAGAATTTAGGCTTCAGTCACAAACATTGCATGTTTTAAAACAGTGAAACCGTTTTTTCACATCCCTACTCAAGACACGTTATATGGACCTCCACACGGGCTTGGGCTACCCATGGGTATGCCCAAAATTGCCATACCAAGGTATCGTTTCCGGGCTTTAAGGTAAAGGCTTGGGAATTGATCCCTTACACGAATAGGCAGGACTAGAGTATTGCTACTACCCAGCCTTACCCGACCCATGCGGAGGCCTAGTGTCATGTGCCTAAATCCAAAGGCAGTATTTATCTTTATATTTATATTTATATCATATAAAAACAAGCTTACCACTAGATTCGTTGAATCGCAAAAATTGGTTTTGGTTATTTTGCTGCGACGGCGGGCATAATACAGTCGCAAAACCAACTGTTAAAAAGGCCACAATCGCACCCATTACAACAGCTATGAAGCATAATGCAACTTTTTCACGCCATGCTTGTTGAGATTGTGCATCACGAAGACCACCGAGCGAACTTAATGCTATATTTGGCGCCCAAAAAGTTACTACTCTAGAAAATATTACCCAAATGTCCCAAGAATTTTCCTGTTCCTTTTTACCAGTTAGCAATGGAGCAACAGGTAGGTGACGTTCAGGCCTGCTGAGTGTCTTTCCACGTGCTAGTGTATTACTACGGCTAGGTGGATATTGGTCAACATCTTGGAATTGCCTATTTGAAGTGTAATCACTTTCCATATGGTATTTACACTTATGTACAAAAGTTGGGGTAAGAACTTAGATAAAAGCAGTGATCTTAAGTCTTTTCCCAACAGACTATGTAAAGGAGAGTGTGAACCGCTCAAGAGAGAAGAATTTTTGTCGGTTGGTAAGAAGGCGGATGTTTGGGGATGGTTCTCTAGGGAAAAAATCTATTTAGAAAAAGAAGATAAACAAATGAAACGAAACATATTTATATATGTTATAT